TTGCATGTTACAAATGTTGCTAATTATGTCTTGGGTAAGGAAAGCTAATACTGAACTAATAAAGGAAGCATTCTTGTTCCATTTATAAAAGTTTCAAATAAGTGAAAAAGCCACTTTTTACTTTCTTTCTTTCTTCTCCACACTTGTTTTGTTCTTCTTTCTTTCTTTGTGAGCATGAGAGAAAAAACTGGGAAGATATTTACTGTGGAAAGTAACACCCCCAATTATTTAAAATCTCTTATCTAAAAATAGCAGTTACTCTGGGATAATGGTGGTAGGCTTGATTTCTCTAGGGAATTTAGCATTTTATAACTGGATATATTTAACTAATATTTAGTAGTAGGGACTCATAGAAAGGATATTTTTACCTAAACCAGCTAATTTTAACATTCTTACAAGGGCTTTTTCCTTAAACAGAAACTACATACAGTACTTAACCTGAGAACCTAATTTCATTTTTCTGCAGAACACCTGCATACAAGAAATAGTGGTGAAAAACTGGCTTGTAATTGTAAAAAATATGCTAAAATTGTTGTCACTAATTAAACAAACTGAATATACTAAATTGCCTTTTTTAACTAGGAAGAAAACATTTTATATTTTAATATATCCACTTATGTCTAAAAATTTCTTTCCATCTCATCAAATAATATAAATCAGCCCTTTTTTCACAAGACAGAGAAGGAGCTCTGAGAAGGAGTTCAAATAGGAGCTGCAATCACCTGAAAGTAAGAGATTAAAAAAAGGTACTAACAGAAACAAAAAGAATACACTGAATATTTTAAGAACTGGACTAAAACCAACCAAAGGAAAAATTGCCAAAGATCCCGTTAAAACCCAACAATATGCATAAACACCAACATGAACAAAACCTTGAAGTTTAACAGTCCAGGGCTACTTTGGAAGAGCAGATGTGCTGTGTAGAACCAGGGCTCAAAGAGACACAAAGTGAAATCTGTGCTCTTTAATTAACTGCTCTCTTCCATCACTAAAGTGAAATGAACTCCAGTTGTTCCTTGAGTGGCAATATGTTTGTGTATTAATAGCTCAGCATTCTGGAAAGCTGCTGTGGCTGAGAGGTTCTTGGGTTCTGTGATGCACTTGGGTTCTGGGCTGCAGTTCTTAAAACTGAAGCCAGTCACAGAATTATGAAGGACCAATCACCAAGACTACCGTTCCTTCCCCAGAGGCACGACTGAAGGGAAGAA